CCCCCCCCCCCCAAGTCGCCCCCCAACTGAGATTTTGAGTTTCTAAAAAAAATTATCATTGATCTACATGACGCCCCCCCCCACCTGAAATGTTCCAGGCCCCCCCCCCTCAGCGCCCCCCCCCCCCCACTGGAATTACTAAACCGTACGTACGAATTAGTAAATCGTACGTACGAATTACTAAACCGTACGTACGAATTACTAATTTTTGTACGTACGATATTAATTCGTACGTACGGTTTAGTAATTCGTACGTACGGTTTGTAATTCGTACGTACGATTTAGTAATTCGTACGTACGGTTTAGTAATTCGTACGTACGAATTAGTAATTCGTACGTACGAATTAGTAATTCGTACGTACGGTTTAGTAATTCGTACGTACGAATTAGATTTATTTTTAACCATGTCCTATCTACACTTCCATAATTATTAGCTTGGACCCCACTATAAGATCGCCAGACCATGTCCGAATGTTAAAAAGGCGATAAGTTGGGTCCAACTTCCAAGTTACTCGGACTAGTACTTAGTAGGTGTGGACCAGGCTAGGCGCAGATCCACACTGGCTTCGGAATCCGGAAAACGGAAGAATATGTTTCCGATTCTCTTCTGAGTTCTGTGTCGATTATTGCAGCAATAACTTACAGTTGGGATAATGTTCACCTTCCAAAACAGACGATATATGTGCTGACACTTTCTATATGCACTTGAATTTACGCGGGAACGAGCGGTGATTTGTTTGTTTACATCGAAGTTTGCCAACCAAAAAATGCATTACGCACAGGGTGACCGTAAGGTCATGACCAAATTCTGCTAAATGCAATTCAAAAATCTGTCAAATTCATCAAAAATCTGCCAAATTCCCCAGAATTACTCGAAATACACTTTAAACACTTAAAAACATGTAGATGTTGTAATATTGCCTCAATTAAGGTTCAAATTACTTTATTTACAATCTGCAGTAACATAAAGATGTTATGAAATGGCGTAAATTTCAGGCAAAACGTGGTTGCTTCATGAGAAAGTCCGGTTCCCAGTGAACCTCAGCACCTAGACCAGTCAACCTTTCCCATTAGATGCAAGAATTTCTTTGAAAAAGATTGAAGTTTTTTAACGAAATGTACCTTTTCAAATTTGTTATGTTTTTCTGTCAAAAAAATGCATTCTGTCAAATTTTCTGTCAACTCATTTTTTAAAACAAAATCTGTCAAAGTTAGCCGAAAATCGGCTAAAACGGTCTCCCGATGAGGCATTTAGCCCGGGACAGGGAACCAGACTACCATGCAAAGGTCATAATAATAAATACCAGGGTGACCGTTTTAGCAGATTTTCAGCTATTTTTGACAAAGTTTTTGTTAAAAACGAGATTGACAGAAAATTTGACAGAATGGATTTTTGGGCAGATTTCTGGCAGAATTCTGCAACAATGGTTATTTGACAGAAAAACAGCAAATTTGAACAAAAAAGTGTACATTTCTTTAAAAGAGCTTCAATCCTTTCAAACAAACCCTTGCATAATGGGACAGGTTGGCTGGTCAAGCTAGGTGCTGAGGTTTACTGGGAAACGGACTTGGTCGGGGCCATATGCGCGTTTTGCCCGAAATTTACCAATAGTTCCACAACATCTTTACGTGACTAAATTATTTATTATGTAATTTGAATCTTAATTAAGGCAAAATTACCAATCTGCATGTAATGTTAAGTGTTTATAGTGTATTTTGAGTAATTCTGGGGAATTTGGCAGATTTTGGATAAATCTGACAGATTTTTGATGTGCATTTAGCAGAATTCGGCTCTGACCTTACGGTCACCCTGATAAATACAATGCTCGATGGACATGATGGATCTTCTTCTTGCATCTTGCATTAGAGTACTCTCCTAAAAGCATTGCTGCTGTCCTGGAGAGGGTGGGTTGCGATTCCATGTGTGCTCTTTGTGTGTGCTATTAGGGTGCTTATCGGATGGTGGTATTGTCAATTTGTCCTGAGAGATACAACTGGTAGCTCCATCCCTCTTATAGTTGGGAGAGCTTCTGTCTGGAACTCTTTCAAAGTGGTCGCAGTAACCGCAGCCTCTGGTAGCCTGTTCCAAATCCGAACAGCTCTTGGGAAAGGGCTATAAAGGTAGCAGTCAACTCTGGTGATGTCTGTGCACGGAAGCTGTCCATGGTGATAAACAGAACTTTGAAGGTACGAAATTCAACGGTGTTTGTTTGCTAGCAGTAAGCAGATCAGTGTATTGAGATTCCCAAAGTTAGCAGGCCTACTGGCTCTAGAAGTCGTTAGAACCATGGTACAATGTACTTTGGTAGAACTATTGTATAGTCGTGTTCCCTAACGTGGCGCACTTCGAAGCATACCCAACTTTCCTCGTGTAAGTGTTGCCAAACCTCTTTGTTGATAAACCTCAAATTCATGCAGTGAAATGCTGGTACTTTTACCTTTTTAATGCTTGCTATTTAACCTCTGTGAACAATTTCGGTTTCATAAAATTTAATCCGAAATGCAAAAACGGTCGCGTCTGGAAATTGGGCACAAATTGGCGGAGTGTTCCCTAACATGGCGCACTTGAATAAATCTCAGAAAATTCCAAATTAACATTTAAGAATTTCTGTAAACTTGATAAATTCTGATAAATCATTATTATCTTTACTTACAAACCCAGCCAGATGTTTGTCAGAAAATTATTTTCTTATTTTTCGGGGTATTTTCAAAGGGTGCACTTTGCACTTAAAAAATAAAATCGGAAAATCACGCCAAAATAATTTTTTCTTTTAACTTTGTAACGGGTAAATAAACTCGCGATTTATGAACGGGAGTGTTTAGAACTTGATGAAATGTCACTTTCTGTGAAATTTCAGTTAAAACTTTTGCTCTAGCTAGGCGCTACAGGCGAAAAATAAAAGTGCGCCACGTTAGGGGCCGCGCCACGTTAGGGTACATCAACAATAGCCCAGGTGGACTCGTGGCATATCTAGTAATTTGGAGGCCGTTTTGAAGGTGAAATCTGATGTTTTTTGTTGGAAAATGTTGGTTTTTGGGACAGTGACAGGATGATGTTGTCCAGGTCGCAGTATTAGCTTGGACCCCACTATCGCCAGACCATGTCCAAATGTTAAAAAAGGCGATAAGTTGGGTCCAAGTTACTCGGACTACAGTTTCTCACCGCTGAGTCTATTCTAGTCGTACATGATGTACGTCTGTGCAGCGTGTAGTCTGGTTCCCTAGACCGGACAATTATTCTCGACGCTCATATCACGTCTGGTCCGGGGGCTAGCCCCACTAGTGTGGCCGTCGGTATGCTGCGCTGAACCTCTGGCCACACACCGTGGTACCGCGCGCTACTGAGGACGAAGTTTTCATAAAATCTGCGGTCCGTTTCTTACATTCTCAGTTTCTTACTTTCTTATGGTTGTATTCTATGATATCTCACCTATCACTTCTGGGATGCTTAGGTCTAATGATGTTCCATTTTCCGAGATATTCTTCAATCTTTCTGGAGCCCATATGCACTCGTGAAACGTCTGGTGATGGCAGCCATTTTGAATGTGACAAGAGATGACCTCAAGCTGTGACGTCGCGTTTATGCAAATTGCTTGTCGAGCGCGCGCGCGAGGGCGCGAGTTGCAAATGCGACGGCTGTTTCCTGTACCATGCATTTATCGTCAGGGGGCCACGTGCACCGATCTCTATTCAGGGTCTACGGCACAGGAAACAGCCGTCGCATTTGCAACTTGTGCCCTCGCGCGCTCGACAAGCAATTTGCATAAACGCGACGTCACAGCTTGAGGTCATCTCTTGTCACATTCAAAATGGCTGCCATCACCAGACGTTTCACGAGTGCATATGGGCTCCAGAAAGATTGAAGAATATCTCGGAAAATGGAACATCATTAGACCTAAGCATCCCAGAAGTGATAGGTGAGACATCATAGAATACAACCATAAGAAAGTAAGAAACTGAGAATGTAAGAAACGGACCGCAGATTTTATGAAAACTTCGTCCTCAGTAGCGCGCGGTACCACGGTGTGTGGCCAGAGGTTCAGCGCAGCATACCGACGGCCACACTAGTGGGGCTAGTCCGGGGCCAAACTATGCAGCATGAATATGCAGTGCGCACGCGCGATTTGCTTAGTAACCACCCTCATACGCACGCGCACTTACTTGAAGGCCCGGTCGCTAATCCAATGACCGAGCGTGTTTTCGCGCCAGTTACCAGAAACACGTTTCGGCTTTGGTCATTGGTTGAGCGTTTTCGTGACATCGGTTGGCTGGAGTGACGTCACGGTTCCAACCAAAACTTAACAAATGAGGGCGCTAGCGTGCGTGCGCGCTTTCGTACGCACGTACATTGTACATGACGTACGACTCGGGGAATAAACTGATGAAAAGTGACTACAAACACGTACAAGTTTAACGCTTCTTTAGAGTTTATTTTCCTGATTAATGTCGGTCAGCATCACATATGGAATTCCTGAACCCAGCGGCCCAATAGGTAAGGACACATAGAAATTGTAGGCGTGAAATAAGCTTCTGTAACGAGGTATTTAAAACGTAACAAAAATCCGGTCCAAATTTTGGGTGGTCTTATGTAGAGAATTCTCGTCCTGGACGTTATCTGTATCTGTAGGTGTACGTTGCAAGAAACCAATTCTGGCATAAGAGCAACGGGAGAGAGAGGGTGTTCACTGTACAGTAACTTATTGAGAGAGAGGTCCGCGGCTGATGAGGGATTTGAAGGTGTCAACAGAGTCGGCTTGGACTACGCATTCCTCTAGATGGTTCCAGTTAGTTGTTAGTCGTAATGCAATGAAGACTTCATCCAACCTGGGCTAGAACTATTGTTGATCATGTTGATGTAGGATGGGTTTACTCCTAGCCCATCGAATGTACGCTGGGCATGAAGAAGAAATCGCGTCGTTCAAACATTAAACACGATCGGAAATTTAACGTGTTCAAGATTGCGAGGGGAGCTCTCCGAAATGAACGGAAAATTTCACTTTTTTTCCAGATGGTAAATAAACTTCAGTACAACCATCTTAATCATCGATGTCTACTTGTACCTCAGTTGGCATATTTAGTAATTTGGAGGGCGTTTTGAAGGTGAAATCTGATGTTTTTTGTTGGAAAATGTTGGCTTTTGGGACGGTGTTGTCCAGCTCGCGGTATTAGCTTGGACCCTACCAGGGTTCTAGCCAGGGTGAAATTATAGCGTAGGGGTAATTTTGGTTCGACGACTAATGTGAGCGCGTAGCTCGAAGCCCTTACGGCGTGGGGTCCAAGGCCTGCTTAAGGGCCCCGAAAAATGTTGGACTCTAGATACTCTTTGGTGCAATCTGAGGCGATTCCCTGCCACTTTCCCCTGATTTTTTTTTAGCAGAAGTGTTTTAAATTATAAGAAATTTTGTTTTATTTGTTTGAATGATTGATACTCTTGCTCCTGTAAAGTTTCTTCTGTTTTCAAATTTTAGATTATGTTTACAATGTATAAATTGTTCCAAGATCGATGCTTTCTGATGTTTAACCATTTTTAGTAGTTCCTCAATGTTTTATAAAAAAATTGGGATTTACTTTGTCAATATTAAGTGCGAGAACAAATAGCATGAACATTTCATACTTGGAGGTCTCAGACAGAAAAAGTCGTCGGAAATTGCAGTTTCAATATGCTACAACACAATGTGAAGGAGAAATCTCATTTTTGTTATGTTAAAAAATATAATTGTAGATAATGACGATGAGAAATAATCACGGGAATTGCTTCCTATCCCGGCCGCGGCCAGCCCACACACTGGCTACGCCGGCGAACTACGCGACCAAATTTTCCCTCAGCATTTGAGAAAGCTTACGCATTCGTGGAGCGCTAAAAAACTTGCTTTGTTGCAATACTTGCTGATTGGTTTTGTCCTTAGAACAAACAGATCCGTTTTTACTACCAAACTTATTGAACTGTTATTATCAGCAACGAGAAGTGTAGTCAAAAATCCAAATTTTCGACAGCGACATTCTTCGAGAAGAATTCTTCACGTGCGGCCATCTTTGAGGACGGATCCATTGATATCATGGGGGTGCTTAACCTTTCTTTGGACATCGTTTCTCGAATAAATCCTTTACAAAAATTATATTCCGACGTTGAAGAACTTATTTTCAAACAGTAACATGTTTCGGACTTGATAAAAAGTATTATTTATAATTTAATAACAGTTGAAATGCTTGTAATTAATATTGACCTTAGGAAAGCACACCCGATACCGCAAAATGGTGTGGTCACAGAGCGCTCTGTACGTGACATGTTGGTGACACGTACGTCCGTACGGAGCGCTGTATCTACGCAGCACAAAACAGCACGTGCGTATTGCTTTCATAGCGAATGCGTGTGGCGCAGCATCACGGTAGGGGTATCGTACGGGGTACGTGCAGTGGGATCGTTGTTTATTTTTCGCTGTGTCGCACAGCCAGTGCGCAATGCTCAAAGTCGCTGCGCTTGTATACGAACAAACGGCAGATATTTTTTTTTCACAACCAAAATTTATAGCGTAGCGGTAGCGTAGCGGCGCGATTTAAGTGTAGCGCTTATTTCCGAAAGCGTAGCAGGTGCTAGCGCTGTTTGATGCCTGGCTAGAACACTGGACCCTACTATCGCCAGACCATGTCCAAATGTTAAAAAAGGCGATAAGTTGGGTCCAAGTTACTCGGACTAATGCTGACCGACATTAATCAGGAAAATAAACTCTAAAGCAACGTTAAACTTGTACGTGTTTGTAGTCTCTTTTCATCAGTTTTATTCCCAAGTCGTACGTCATGTACGTGCGCACGAAAGCGCGCACGCACGCTAGCGCCCTCATTTGTTTAGTTTTGGTTGGAACAGTGACGTCACTCCAGCCAACCGATGTCACGAAAACGCTCAACCAATGACCAAAGCCGAAACGTGTTTCTGGTAACTGGCGCGAAAACACGCTCGGTCATTGGATTAACGACCACGCCTTCAAGTAAGTGCGCGTGCGTATGAGGGTGGTTACTAAGCAAATCGCGCGTGCGCACTGCATATTCATGTGCATAGTCTGGCCCCCGGACCAGACGAGATATGAGCGTCGAGAATAATTGTCCGGTCTAGAGAACCAGACTACACGCTGCACAGACGTACATCATGTACGACTAGAATAGACTCGGCGGTGAGAAACTGATGAAAAGAG